CTGTCTCCCAGTTGATATCAGTCCTGTTCAAACAGACTGCACTGGTGATATCAGCTTTATGATTCCTCAAGGATTTAACCTTTAGAAACAGGGAAAATAGTACATTATTATTATTATTTTCTTAGTTCTTACTCTGTAGTCTCTGGTTGGTCGGCCAGTGTCCATCTTCTTTTCAATCGTTCTCTTTGCTCTGTAGTAGCGATACCATCTTGAGCTGTCACCAGTTATCACACTGATGTCACAGAATGCCCACCTTTCCAATGAATAACGTCTATTAATAATAATAATAATTATTATTATTATTAATCATAATCATTGTTTGTTTATAATCATTATTATTATACCAGCCAGTACTTATACATGTTCAGTTGCAAACAGTTCATGGTGGGCATAGTTTAGAACTGAATAGCTAAAGGGTCATGGCTCAATCTTATCCAACCACTGTACAGTCTATTCTCATTGCAATAACTTACTAGAATACTAACATGCACTATAGCTATATGAACAAGACCACAGATACATGTAGCAACAAAAAAGAGACACCAAACAGCCAGGTGTATCATGTCTTAACAATAGACACACTGATACAATAAGGACTACACAAGCTATTGCTCATTATGATGATCTGCCATTATAACTCAACTAAGAGTAATGTAATGAGCTGCCTCACTTTACAAGCCACTAGTGTGAATCATTGAACAAGCAAAATAAAACAAGAAGGCATGAGAAGAGAGAGCAGTAATGCACAATATCTATATCATTAAATTTCATACCTCCAAATTCCTTCTGAGCTAGCAGCATCATTAAAAGCCTATCAACAGGGCTGACTGATAACATAGCAGCATTTCATATTAGGGTAACATACCATGCAAACGCAAGAGAGTCTGGCTGTATCTTCAGCTGGTAAAAAGTTACAAATATTAACCAAACAAAGATATGGTAACTGGTCTAAAGTGAGCCCACCACTCGGTCCACCATTTGCAAAAGAAGCAGCCATTTTGTCATTTTAATATAATGGTGATTATGGTCGTCATAGGTCGAATAAAGAGGATATAAAAATTAAGTATCTATGCTAGAATAGATTAAATATATAGAGGGTCACAGTTTGTTCACACTATAGCTATCTACAGGAATGTATGCTGCTGCAGTCCTCATGAAGTACGCCCTCTTCTTCTTTTTTGTAGCTTCAGTATGCAGTGCAGGGATTTTGCAAAATGCTATTCGTATGAAACAGAGACAACCAGGCCAAAATTGCAATACCCAGTTGATTAACAGTCTCCCAAACATATGTAATCGCTCTCTCTTGACTGGAGGAATCCCAATCATCTCATCTAGTGAACGAGCAGCAATGAATGCAGCTTATGCTCAAAGTTGTGTTCCTGCCTGCATTAATCTTATTCTACAGTACTATTCGTGCCTCAATCTTCCCGAAGCTGGTACTAAAATGGCTATTCGTTTATTACTGAATGGTACTTGTGGAGTGGACAATGGAGAATACTGTCCTGTTAAAGCAAATCGTTTGATTGACATTGATTCTAACAATCCTCATAATACTTGTCCAGATCCCATAGAATCAAATACCGGTGGTGATGTGGTCTGCAATAGTACAACGCCTCAATCTTGTTACAATGACCTTTCTACTTTCTCTTCAAGACTAGGTTGCTGTGCTATAGGTGCATATCCTTTTCATCTTCAGAACTGTGGGGTGACTTTTGATTCTCCTTGCGGTTCTAGCGCTAGTACACTGCAAAAATGCCGGTGGGAAATACACCCAATTGAAGTGGGTAAAATACACCATTTGATTTTCCACCACAGTGGTTTTATCCCACTGGTGTTGAATTCCCACCTTTCGTCGCAATATCACACTAATAAGAGTGTTCATTATAAATGTACTTTAAAATTATTTTAAAGTCAAAATATTAAGTACTTTTGTACAATAAAGTAATAGTTATTCAATGATGAATTAAAACTTTGATGAAAGTTATATGCATGATGGTCACAAAAATCAGATAGCTTACAAATAAGTGTGATCTCTCTTTCTTTATTTATAGTATAACAAGCATGGTAATGCCAGCAATATTCAATATTGTGTAGCTTGTCAACAATAAAATAAATTGTGTTATCTTGAGAAACAATAATTAACTTGATGACACACAGCTGAGGAACATCATCTTTAATTTCTTTAATTAGAACATAACCAGGTTTGTAGACTTGACTACGAACTTTCACCCATGGATAACTAAAATGGTATAATATATACATGTAGTTACTGTAATACAATCAAAATCTAGACTTACATA